TAAATATTTACTTTCTCCAGCTATTGGAGCTTTAAGCACCTTTTTGCTTGTTTACCAGGTTAATTTTAACTACTATGTTGAAAAAAGACCAGTTGTGTATTGAGCTTAAAAGATAAAGCTCAAATTATGCACAGACTGAATGTCTCAGAGAACTGACTCTTCATTATTGTGCCTGCTTTGTACAGCTCAATACAAAATGTGCAGTTAGAGAGAGAGAGTCTGAAAAGAAGAAGCATCTGCTTTGCACTCTGTGGAAAGCCCCAGTTGCTTCATAAGTGAATCCTGGGTTATTTCTTTGTTAAATATGGATTTTAAAAAAAATACTAAAAAGGTTTAAAAACTTGTAAAGTTTGAAGAGAACCTGTCATCATCGTAATGCTCATAATCTTATCAAATATCCATAGCACAACCACTTCTGATCCTAATCCCCTCCACTTCTGGGAGTGTCTAATTACTGTCTCTGCTGACAGAGTATTAAAGCCTAAATTTAGCTGATTTTTTTTTTTTTAAATCAGCACAAGAGGCAGTACTTATATTGAATGAGAAGTGTTCCTTATGCTGGTCTCTTAGTTGAAACTTTGTCTTTGCTCCTATCCTTCCTCTTTGGCACAACTGATTGTCTCCTTGTGCTGCTTCTCCCTGCTCTGGTCTGGGCTCTGCTGTGCAGGGACTGCAGCAGACTGATACAAAATCAAATGCAGATAATTACACTGGTTGCATGTAAAAAAATAGATTTATGGGTGAATTAATGAATACAGAGCTGCATTAATTTGTGTCTTTAACATCTACCTGGAGTTCCTCTTAAGAGCTGATTCACACATTTGCTGTGCTGATTGAAGCTCAGGTTTCACAGCTAATTGGCACAGTAATTGTTCAGCGATTCATGTCAGGTTTACATCAGGCTCAGGACAGGATTAGGTCAGGATCGTATCCTGTTCACACATATACGGTTTAGAAACGGTTCCCATAGAAGTCAGTAGCCTGTAATCCACACCTGAACCTGAAGGCACTGCTCAGAAATTGTACATGACTGTTTTTTTTAACACCTTCCCGCCCGGCCTATAGCAGATTGATGGCCAGGTGGGACACTCCTTGTTGTGACTGGGTGTCATATGACTTAATTCAATAATTACCGCGCTCTAATACTAATTAAAAAAGTGCTCAGTGCTTGAAAAATAATATGAATAAATCAACAATTGATGATACCTTTAAAAAATTGTAAATACTCCTATATATGTGCCAATTAATAAATCAAATAATAATTCATGATAAAAATAATATATAAAGTCCAAAAAATCCAAAAGGTATAAATGAAAAGTCCCAAGTGCAAAAAAGAAAGTGCTATAGTGTTCAAGTCAAATCAAATCATACTCTCCTTCCAATATATGGTTTGCTTCAATCCTGCAGCTTTATAATTAGCTTGTGTGTCTGTGAGGGACGATCCCTCCTTTGATCCACTCTCTCCTTCTAATATGTGCTTCAATCCTGCAGCCTTGCAAGTAGCTTGTATGCCTGTGAGGGATGATCCCTCCTTTGATCCACTCCTTGTTGTAACAGCCAAATGCATGCAAAGAGAAAGAATATATGGTGCCTTATCCCAGAGACAAATTCAGATTTTAATTCACTTTCACATTACACTCACATATTAAAAACATCAATAGCGCTTTTTGTATAGTAAACAACCGCTGCCTGCGGTGAAGGTCTGGCCAGAGGGTATGTACCCCACGCCGTCAGTACTCGCAGTATCAGATGTGCGGTGACGTCACTGCCCCTCCCCAACGCGTTGCACCACAGGGACTCTACAGCATACCTGTAGAGAGTGTGCAAAATAACCAGCGATCTAGAAAAAATATATATGCTGCTCTGTTAGTAGACCCTGGTGGCTCACAAGTAAACACACTATAATTACCTGGGTGTCATATGACGTTCTGTCAAAACGAGGCACTCCCGCGGGCCAATCACAGCCCATCTGTATCATGTGATCAGCTTTGCCCAATCACAGCTAATCACAACAAAAGACTGAATGAATCAGTTTCATTCAGTAAAAAAATCCTGATCACTTGCCTAGAGTAGTTCAATCTTACTATGGTAACACTGAATCCGCACTGCTGGTGCACGGGACATATGTGAACAGGCACCATAGGAAGCAATGTTGTTTCACATGTCATGTGGATTGGATGTGGTTCAAACAGCATCCAATCCGCAAATTTGTGAACTGGCGTTAAAGTGGTAGCAAAGTCCAAAAAAAAATTTGGGTCCCCAGGTGGTTTAAGTCATAATGTGCTGGTATGCACTGCATACTAGCACATTATGACAGACCTACCTTAAAATGAAAATGAAACCATCCAGCAAAGCACTGTCACTGCTGTTGGCTTTTCCATCTTGGTCTTCCTTCCCAGTTTGCACTCTCTGGTCACCTCACACTCATGGGAGTCATGATCGCAGCACAGCGCTGTCAATTGATGGCATACTCCAGTGTGCCATCCATTCAGACCTCAGCGTGCATGCATCTGTAACATCACCGACCGCTACAAATATAAATATCTCCTAAACGGTACATGTTTAGGAGATATTCACTGTACCTACATGTAGGCTTGATTATAGGCTTACCTGTAGGTACAAGTCATAAAGCTGAGTTTACTAGCGCTTTAAGATTCAAGAAATGTTTACAATAAAATGGCAGGGCCTTGAAGTCATTAGGTGACTGGTTCTTGAGATCAGAGTGTTGCATACCTTTCCTAATGACATAAAGACCCCTTAGAATGCAAAACATACCATATCGCCAAAATAACTGATTGCATGCCTGTATGTTATCCTTGTATAAAATTCTAAAATCTGAAATTCTAAACATTCATCCCCTGGAGAATTTCATCTGTTATCTGCAATTCATTCTCTTGCATCACTTGTTTACCTAATTTGCAAATTTTCTTGATGAGTGCTACTGATTGTGGTTTGACATTGATTGCAATTTGTATCACCAAGTGTAGAGTAGAGGGGATAAAACATCATTTTGGTAATGATGTTTTCCTAAGGATTGCCTTTTCTTTGTAACACTGAATTAAGTAAAGAGTGGGAAGAGTATTAAAACATGATTCTAAATGTGCCATAGAAGGCCCTGTATATTCAGGCTACAGATTCAAACATCACATACCATCATTTGGCTGTGCAAGGGTTGAAAAGTGATTCTGAGAATTGGGAGTGCTTGTTATCCAACACCGAGATCTTCAGGCCTATTGGAAATAATTGCAGCTTATGAAAGACCTTTTCCTCTTCTCAGTGGAAATGGGAACAAGGAGCAGATTTCTCACTGCTTGACATTCTCTGTGAGTGATCTGCCTGTCTATGACCTCCGCTATATGCCTGGAAGCTGACAAGCAGCTGGTATTTATTCATGGCACACTGGGCCTCTCAAACCATGAGTAAAGTCTCAGTAATTTCTGACTTCCAGACAGATGCTTGATCGGGCATGTAGATCAACAACCTGCTCCATTGACCCAGGATTCATTCAAACTGGGGTGGATAGTGCTTGGTACACATTTCACTGTCTACAACCTGGCAGCTTCTAGATACCACCAAATGGATAATATAATGTAGAGAAGTGTGAATGTGGATTCTTTGAGTCACTGACCCATTACAAGTAAGCAGCAAGTAAAGGCAGAAAACTCCCTATGTGCATACTTGTTCCAGGATCACTGGCTGTGTGAGCATGACAAACCAAAAACTAGCATTTTCAAGAGAAATCAGCTATGGTAGCTGCTAAATGTCCCTTAGCTCAAGTTTCCTTTAATAAGAAAATGCAAAATGCAAAGACCATGTCTGTAATAAGATATGTAGTGGCTTTGTACATGTAAGCTTTCATTCATTATTTATTGAGTACAGTCAAGATTTAAAGAAATACATTGAGTCATTGAGTACATTTTATTTAATTTTTTCTTTTCATAATCAGGTAAATATAAAGTATTGCAAACAAATATTTTGTCTTTTCTTTTTTGAATCAGTAGGTGAAGCTTCGGTCTCTTTTTCACTTGTTGTTAACAGAGATCAGTAGCTCAATGTGAAATTTAAACATAGAACAGAATGCCTCATAACAGAGACTTGTTGCTTGTTAGACAGCCTAGTTCATAGTTTCAGTGAGAGGTAATCTGACGATTATTGCTGTGTTGTCTTTTTAGCTAACCCATAGTGATCTGGGAATCATTTGTAATATATTATCTGTTTAAATAAGAAAGGTAGTATACGTATGGTAAAACACATAAAATAGTTTAAACATTTAGGAATTTACTAAAATACTAAAACAAAAATAATAACCAAAGCATTTATTAACCACCAAAAATACAAATATTAACCAACAAATCACATTTTGGTTTTCTGTAGTAAAATCAGATATCTGATTGATTAGTATGAGACTAAATTTCATGCTTCCTTATTAAACAAATGAAACCTAAAATAACAATTCTATTTGTGTTTGTATACATTTAAAAGATTGAAAATGCCTTTATATAATTTAGAATACATGATGTAGAGAAGATGATCATGAATAATGCAAAATTTCAAATGTCCAGTTTCAAAGTCACATTCAGCAAGCAATTTGCACATCTTTGCTGCAGATGGGTTACTTAATTTTATTTTTTCCCATTTGTTATATTTGCTTACTTATTTGCATATTTATTTATGGCTGGCAGTTTTTAAAGTCAACATCTCTTAGCATTCAGAAAGAATAATTAAAAAGAGTTTTAATATAAGTAAACTACCATTTTGGTTCCCAGCTAGCTGGAAAGTACCTAGCATTTATGAATCTTTTCCTGGCACAGTGATCTCCTTTATTTTTTTATTTATGTTTTATTTTTTTTGCTATTACCTTATTATTATTACGTTTTTGAAATGTCACTAGAGAGTTTTTTTTTTCAGTGTTTAACTCTTTAACTATTTTATAGTTTTTTGTCTGCTTTATTGGCCTTTTGAGAACTTGTTTGTCAACTCATGAAGTCTTTGTATTCTAGGGTGAATACTGTTCTATACCTTGTCCAGCCGGTACATATGGTAGTAACTGCTCATCTGTTTGTAACTGTAAGAACAATGCAGTGTGTTCTCCTGTGGATGGCTCATGTACTTGTAAAGCAGGTGAGAGGCCCCTTTCATGTCAGTTCATAGAATCACCTTTAAAAATAAGAAATATTTGATATCCTTTGTTAACACAAAAAATATATACATTGCAAAAGCTAAAGAAAAGGTGTGTTTGTTGGATCTATTGCTTCTTTAGCAGTAGGCTAGTAGGTAACTTTCGGATTTTCATAACAAGAGAGTAATTATTTGCATTAACTTTAAAGAAGTCCAGTATTCTAACCACTTTGGGGATAATTCAGAATTGTGTATACATTCAAATAGCAGCTGTCAGCTTTAAGCTCTCCCTCTCTTTCCTGGCCACCCAGACTACATGCTTGAATAAGGGTCTAGTATGAATTTTGTACGTGACCCCATGCCTTATAGTGACTGCTTGAGTGCAAAGCACAGGAGCTCATATAATTTAAGGCTTTCAATGATGCCATGGTCAATGATGTCACACGGACTCCCCGCCCACTTTGCTTAAATTGCAGTGGCAGGGACCAAGAGATGACATTGACAGGAAGTAAAACAAGGTGTTCGGACAGGGTTTTGCTTTTGGTGGCCATCAGGCATCATGATTGATGTGGATCTGCATCACTGAATGTGATTGACAGCAGATTTACATCATGGGACTTGTCAAAAAGTGTGTGTGTGTTTATTTGTTATTGAATGAGTCATGAATGAGTAGGGGAGAAGTGGTATCTGGGGACCTCCTTATTTTAAAGTGGGTTTCAAGATTCTGTAAATGCATCTGCCCCCACAACCACTGGGCCAGGGATATGGGGAAGAGGCCCCCTGTCCTTATCAATATGGGAACAAGGTGTGTTGACAGCCCCCCTCTTCCGAAAAAGTACCCCCCAAATTAAGGACATGTGGCCTGTTATGTTTTAGAATGGGGCCTCCAAGCTCTCCTTCTCTTTCCTGGTTACCCAGACTACATGTTTGAATAAGGGTCTAGTATGGATTTTGTACAAGACCCAATGCCTTTTTTTCCTTTTTTTCAATGGGGTTCTCCCTTAAAATCCATACAAGACCTTAAGGGCCAGGAGGGACCCTTTTTTTTAACTTTCCCTGTTCTTTATTTACATTTAACTGTCAGTTGGGCAGGAAGATGTCACATGTAGCAGTGGTAATAATACTAATATTGTCCACTGCTAGCTGAATGTCCTTAACTTATAGCGTTAGGATATTTTCTCTATCGGTGAATGTTAACTCTTAGGGCTGGTTCACACAGAATGAGATGCAGGAAAAGTGCGTTGCATGCGCGTTTCCCCTACCGTACTCAAAACGCATTGCTTTTGCGGTCTACTGCGGGTGCAAATGTAAACAGCACCCCAAATGCAGATCGCATGTGCAGTGTATTTCAAGGCTCCAAATCACACGGTACTGCAGTTTTTTACCTACTTTCTTCAAGTTCCAGTGCGATTTCAGCAAATTGGCTGCAAAATAGTACTGCACAGGACCGCACAAGAATCGCATAGGAACTCGTACAGCATTTGCGATCTCAGTGTGAATTGCCCATTGTGGTTGATTGTTGTTATAGCCATTTTCCTATTAGGTTTGAATGTTAGGGAATGTTACATTTGCCTGGTGAAAGGCAACAAAGAAATTATAACACATGTTTTAGAAATATTATATGTATTATTCGTTACGCTTGAATGAAAGTTGAGACATTTGCAGAGCAAGTTTCTTTTTTTTTTCATAAATGGACCCCTAGGTGTTGGACTACAATGCTTTTCATACCACCAGATTTGCTTCAAATATTTATGTACTGCTGTTGTTAAAAAATACCATAGTTGCTATTTACCCGTAATTACAGTTGTTGTCATTTAACCAATGGGTCTCTTGATTGTGATCATTTTTCCCACCAGGTTGGTATGGAGTGGATTGTTCCATCAACTGCCCTCGAGGAAGCTGGGGTCTTGGATGTAATCTCACCTGTCAGTGTCAGAATGGAGGAGCCTGCAATGCTGTGAATGGAAGCTGCACATGTGCTCCTGGCTGGAGAGGTGTAAACTGTGAACTCCCATGCCAGGTAGGACTACATTTACCACACAGGATCTTTCACACTGTGATACGCTATCTGTATCCATTGCTTTTTTTTTCTATGCATTATACACTGAACAATGATTATATTCCTGTATGCATTACCAAGCAAATATGGGACTCAAAAGAATGCTTTAGCTTCACTCAACGTGTTTTATCTATATAGCCTAGTGCAACACTGCCCCCGCTGGTGGTATTTAAATGTTACCTGTACTATAATATTTGATCAGTTTGCACAGTTCTCACTTCACATGGATCAATTCTTTAACCACTTCAATACCAGGCACTTTCACCTCCTTCCTGCCCAGGCCAGTTTTCAGCTTTCAGTGCTGTTGCACTTTAAACAACAATTGCGTGGCTATGCAACGCTGTACCCCAATTAAATGTTTAGATTTTTTTTTAAACAGATAGAGCTTTCTTTTGATTATATTTAATCACCATTGGGGTTTTTTATTTTTCCTAAACAAATAGAACAAATAAAATTTTGGGAAAAAAACCCTTTTCTTAGTTTCTGTTCTAAAAATTTGCAAAGAAGTACATTTTCTTCTTCACTAATTCTGCACTGATAAGGCTGCACTGATGAGCACTGATAAGGTGCACTGATGGGCACTGATAAGGCTGTACTGAGGGGCACTGATGAGTCTGCACTGACGGGCACTGATAGGCCTGCACTGATGGCCAGTGATGAGACAGCCCTGATGGACACTGATGAAGAGAAACTGATGAGGCTGCACTGATAAGGAGGCACTGATGGGCACTGATATGCTGCATTGATGGACACTGATATGCTGCACTGATGGACTTTTTTTGGCACTGATGGGGCTGCACCAGGGGCGGACTGACAACTCATGGGGTCCCCGGGCAATAAGGGATCATGGGGCCCCTGTGTCCTCACCCACACTCAAACTACACCCAAAAAAGCCTATGAAAGGTACCAGGGGCATCTCATGGGGCCCCCTACTGACCCCGGGCCCTCGGGCAGCGCCCGAGTTCCCAAATGGTCAGTGCGCCCCTGGGCTGCACTAATATTCTGCACTGATGGGGCTGCACTGATCATCAGGGCACTGATGATCAGTGTCCTGATTATCAGTGTAAACGACCCCTGTCACAGAAAAGTCCGTTATCGGCCTTCCTTTCCTCAGCGCTGTGACAGTGCTGAGGAAAGGAAATGGCGTTAACCAGCTTTTGTTTACATGTGATCAGCTGTGATTGGACACAGCTGATCACATGGTAAAGAGCCAAAGTCTTTGACTCTTCACCCTGATCTGTAATGAGCTGTGTCTGCGGGACATAGCTCACCACAGATTGCCACTCTGTGCGCCCTTGGGAGCATGCACAAGCGGCGTGACTGGGAGGATGTCATTTGACATCCACCCAGAGGGAGGAAAGGCCCATCTGGTCATCAGTCTGCTATTGGCCCGGGTGGGAACTAGTTCCAGCACTTCTTCAATATTATTTAAAAAAAAAAAAAAAAAAAGTCAGTAGCTACATTGTGAAAAGCCGACTGTGACTCCTTTGGGCTACACAGCTGGATTCCCACTGCACATGTGAGAGACACGCTGCACTGTGTGAATGGTCCTGCAGCCTCCTGGGGCCTGTGATGGGTCCCAGAAGGTTGCAGGTGTGGGAGAACTTCTGTGGAATCGCTTAGGCAGGTCCAGCAGAACTGGGAGCAGGTACATGATAAGACTAGGTACTCTCCCCCCCCCCAAAAAAAAAAGTTCCAAAAGAAGAAGAGGAGGGGGGAATAAAGCAGAACTTCCCCTTTAGGGTGAGGTTCCGCTTTAAGCAGCCAACTTTACTATATCACATTGTTATTATTAAAAAGTACAAACATTCAGACACAAATTCTTTGAACAATTGAAGACTGAACGTATAATGTTTTAAAATACTTCAAAATTGCGTTTACCTTTAATGTTCAATTATGCAATGACTATAATTTCCAGAATATAAACCACATACACTGTTAAAATTAATTTGTTCAAAAAAAAAAAAAAAAATGTTCCATTCTGCACCTTCGTATTTTCTTATCACTGTGGTCAAAAACGAACGTTGATTGACCCCACTAATGATTGGAAAATCTTAAGGACGTTCTTAAAACGAAAAATTTTGAAGAAACTACTAGTGTATAGTCAGCTTCGGACTAGAGATTCAGCAAGGCACAATTACTTAAGAGAGCCTACATATGCAGTGAGCAAATATGTTTGTTTCTATGTGTGTATATAATTACAAGACTAACATGCAAACATAGTTTCTAAAACATTAGCACCTAATTTTTTTTTTTATTATTATATTATTATTAATATTGTATAGGATTTATATAGTGCCAACTTTGTGTAGTGCATTACAAAATGAATACAGACATTACAGTTACAATACAATTTGGCACCAGAGGAATCAGAGAGCTCTGCTCGTTATTATAATGTTATACGTGTCTAATAAAATATAATATATATCTAATATAAATATCTAATAAAAGGAAAAACCTATCAGCAGTCATTCTGTTGCCTTTTTCTTCTAGTGGTTGCCTTTATAGAGCGATAGACCATACAGGAAAGTAACATAAGTGTCAAATATCTAAATTTCAATAAAGCTAATAGTGCACACAAGTGATTGGTATTAGTAGCATATCATCCATACAGTGGGATTTTGTTTTAGTTTTGGTTTTCCTTTAAGATGTTTGCTGTCTGAAACTATCTGTATTTGAAACAACTGTAATGTGTGTATTTAGTTGGTTTCATAAAATGTCTTGTATTTGTATTTCTTTCTTTCTAGGATGGCACCTATGGAATGAATTGCTCTGAACGTTGTGACTGTAGCCATGCTGATGGCTGTCATCCAGCCACTGGGTACTGCCGTTGCCTGGCAGGGTGGGCAGGTAAATGACAGGACTGCATTATGATCTTTTAAGTGAAATCGTATGTCATTGGACCTGTTCACACCAGTTTAGTTTATTCACTGCAGTTTGTGCACAGATTTAGGCATTCAGCACTGAAGACTATATATGATATTTTAGAGTTCATGAAACAACATTATTGAAGCAATTGGATTTGGTGAAACCCAGATATTCAGTGCCAGACTACCCTTGTTGTCAATGATGTGGACACTTTTGAAAAATGTAGATTTGTCTGATTTGGAATTATATATTCACTCCAAAAAAGTGCTAGAACTCACTGAGGGAAATTCATAAAGGGTGTCATAGACACCCTTTTAGAGTTCTGTCAGGTCTGCCTGAATTAGGTGCAGGTAAGGGAACTACAACCAGAAATCTGTTGTTAGAGCTACTTTGAATTCCCGTGATTGTGTTACATATCATGTTACTCCAAATTTAATGCTGAATACAATCATACACTATTTAATATATCTATCAATGATACATGCATTTATGTACAAAAAAGTCAATATCTGGTTGGATAGCTTTTAGAAGCGGTAACAGCTTTGCAACTTTCTGGAATAGAATGAACTACATTTTAAGTTCTTTAATATATCAGCATTTTATTATAGATTGTATGAGTTCTTGGTTGTTTTCTTGGTCTCTCTTTTCCAACACCATCCTTTAAGAGGTTTGCAGTGGGGTTTAGGTTCAGGCTATTTCCTGGCCAGTCGAACACCAATCTCTTTTAGCAGTCTGGCAAGATGAATGATGTTTCTGGAAATGAAACTGCGCAAGGGAATAATGATGAGGAAATAACTGCAGGAAGAAGAATTTTGGATTTAAAAATGTCTTACTTAAGAAGTATGTTTGGTAGGCTCTTGTATGGAAGGGACTTCCCTGCCTGATAGTCATCTGCTTATATATTGATTTGCTCCTTCCCACATTCTGTTGATTCTTGACATGGCCTTATCTGTAATACCCTATACTTTTATGGCCATATCATTTATTGAGTTGGGTTGAATGGCCTGGTTTTTAGGTTTAATTCTGATTTGAGGTGAAACCTTCCAAAAATCACACCTAAAGTGTATATAAAAGCAAAACTTTTTTATGTATTGTATAGAGTAGGAAAGAGTTGGACCATCTGCCCAGTTTTTATTGTGGTTTGTTTTTCTGCTGGGAAGATTCACCCTATTTATCCTGATGATCTATGTCATAAAGCTGGCCATACACAGTTAGCTTTTTTTTCACTCAATTCATACAATTGAGGTGGATGGAGGACCCCCGGGAACATTGTATTCTGACAACGGTACCTGCTGCTGTCAGAATGCATTGATCAGTGGCTGCGGTTGATTCGCTGGGACATCGCATTTTGATAACGGCACCCACTGTTGTGAAAATGCATTGAACTGTTGTTGCGACTGATTGGCTGGGACATTGTATTCTGATAATGGCACATGCTGCTTTTAGAATACACTGATCAGTGATTGCTACTGATTGGCTGGGGCATTGTATTCTGACAACGGTATCCGCTGCTGTCAGAATACCCTGATCAGTGGCTGTGGCTGATTGGCTGCAGTACTGATTTGCTGAAAATTTTCCAACATTTTTCTTTGACAGAAGTTGATTAAATAATCAATTCTGTTAAGTAGGGCAGTCCACACACTGGACCCTTTACTTTTACTTTTCTTACAATGAAAAGTTCACTTCACGTACAACTTTCCTAAAAAATTGTTGTCTAATATAAAAACTGGCAACATATAACGTTGGCATATATTCTTTCTTGCTGAGTGAGAGGAGTTACTTTATGATCTGTAGGAAAAGAGTGATATTTCTTAGAGCTGCTTCTTGAGAGGGAATGTTGATTGCACAAGACGGCTACAAGTGCAGAAGGCATAAAGACCTGAGCACTTCTGAGCGGTTGGGTAAAGTTTTATCATGAGCCCTTGGTAATTGCCTAGCAACATGTCCAGACCATCAAAGGCTTCTTTGTCCGGGACCCTGGCAAAAACATTCCTTCACAAATCTCCTTATCGACGCTAGAACAGACCAAATCTGTCAGCTTGCTGTAAAAGCTGCATCAACAATGCATAGTAACTTCTACATATATAACATCCATGACATATAGAACCACCACACCGTATAACGTTCATTTTGCTTTTATGCCTGAAATAAGATACTTCATGCCGTTCGTGACTACAAAACTTATCAACATTTTGTCAACTTTTTCTTTCTTCCAAACAAAGAAACAAATGATCTATTCAGTGGTCCAGCAGCTTTGATTGTTAATGCGGAGCAGACACAATGAGATTTTGGGATGCTTGCTAGCATGACTGTTAATAGCGGAATATGTTATCCATTCTGTCCCTAGAGCACAAAAGTAACATCTATTGCAATCTCTAAATTGTAAAGCAGGTCTGGGGCCATAATTAAGAGTTCACGTTATAGGTTTGTTCTTGGCTGGAAATTAGTGGCTCAGTTAGGGATTTTCTACTATAACACAAGAAGAATTTTTTTTTTAACAAAACACTGACTGGGAATGAGCTCTGCAGTGCAGCACTGTGTGGCGGTGAAATGACGTGATTTCCTCTGCGGACTTTGTCATTTGTTATGGGATTAATAGTAATCTGCTCAGAGCTAATTGGAAGTTAACTCCATGGCTGTAATAAGTTCAAAGAATACCTTGCCAGTGTATGTAATTACTTGGAATGATTTCTTTACTGTCTGCTAGGTAGAGACAGTATAAGTTTGAAATAAAACCATCTGGTAAATGGATGTTTGCTAAAGGCCCTCTTATATAACACTGACACTTTTCTCATGAGACTATGAAGGGTCAAAATATGGCTTCAAATAATGTTTCTGGATTATACAGGTTTATTCAGCTTTATTGCACCCACATTAATGGAGGCAGCATTGATAGCTGTCAGTATATTTCAGCTAAGCGATAAAAAGAGAAAGATTTTGTTGGGTTGTTAAGGAGCAGTTTATACGGTAAAATCAACAAGCAACAATAAATATAACTACATTTTTGTATGTATTTTATGTTTGACAGAATATTTGGCAAAATGGGTAGAAAACCACATTGGCCTACTGCTGTTAACCACTTTTACTAAGGAGTGGCCTTTGGGGTTAGCTCAGGTGTGTTTGTATCCTAGTCCGTACTCACCTAAGTGATCCTGCCAGGAAGATATCACTTGTACTGAGCCAATTATAAGTGGCCAAGGCTTTCTCTGCCCCACAACCCCAAGTATACATGGGACATGTATATGTGCAGCTGTGGGGTAGGAAATGCCTTGGCGACATATGACATATGATTGTAATAAAAGATGTTATAGTGAGCGCGACTTAAATGCAAAAAGTGTATCAATATATATATACACAAAAACGTTAGTGAGCAGCTGATACACCGTAAAGGTAACCAAGTAAAACCTCCAAATCAAACATATATATTAAATAACTGGTGCAGCGCTAAATACTAGAGCACAGTTTATACACACAATATATAAACATGCATGATATCACTCTATGGTGATCAATAAATACAAAAGTTCAGTGTAATAGTGCGGATCATGCAGAGATCCCAATTAAAGGTGAGTGGACGTCCTGATCCAAGGTGTGATGATAGGTGTGATCACACAAATAGGTGAAAAACGCACTCACCAGATGTGCGTATAATCTACGCAATATGTAATCCTGCGTCACCAGGCCATAAAACGATCATCAGATCCCAGATCAGATTGTACCCAGGTCACCATCTCAGTTCCACAGAAGTGAAGTCATCTGAAACCGCTACCAGGTATCACCACCAGGGTCCTGAGTCCTCCAGATGGGCACATATGCATTCCTATTGGTTAGGTGTCCTGCTGCTGCTGCCCCCCTGACGCGTTTCGTGCGATGCACGTATTCATAGGGTCCAGCACGTCAAGGTGCGTCAACTTGTTCCTTCTTGAGAACGCCCTGTGGGTGGGGCGAAACGCGGTGACGCACTTCCGGACTGCCGTCATCTTGGCCTACGTCACTTCCGGTATTTGGAACGCACGCCGACTTTTGCGGTTCAAGCGGCCATTTTAGAGGTGGAAAGCTGGTCATCCTCTACAGTGATTCTTAAAGCGTGAGATCCCTATATTTACAATTTGGAAACTTGTTCCTTTGAAGCCTTTGAGGCTATTAAACAAGGCCTGTTATTTTATTGAAACATGTGAGTGTCCTTATTCTATGGATTTATATGGTATTGAGTGGCAGTATTACACTATGTAGCCTTTCTTTCCTTGCACATTATTGAGGATTCCATGGAGAAGTAGAGTGGAGTCGATTGCTGTATCTAAGCAGGGTGAAGAAGGGGATTTGAGTTCCTCTTGAGGGGCTATAGGATCCCTTATATCCTATGAGGCTTATTACTCACCTCCATCTGGTGAGTGCGGTCAATATTATTTTTTCACGTGGTGATTAGGTGGATGCACATTTTGTCAATATTGTCTTAAAGTCTGCACTTTTCTAGTTATAATTATAGATGATAAAACAGATGTTTAATACTCTTTGTGAAGAAATCGGAAATACTTCTATGGCAGAGGAACAAGAAACAATGACCACAAGATCTTGCACAAAGCCAATGTGGAATTGATGTTTAAGTAGAACCAGGCACTTGGTGGATCTTCTCCTTTGGCTAAGAACGTTACCAATGCCTTGGCATTAATGACAGGCCCAGCAGCTAAGGAAGCTCAAAACAGCAATTTCTTTAATTACAATAAGAATCTCCTTAATTTTTTTTTAGTGCAGGACGCTCAGGATGGAGATGTTTTTGCTATAGGATATTTTACCACTATCTACAGGTTAAAGCAGAACTTCATTTGGGAGAAATATTAGCTTTGTGGCCTTCTTTAGGAGCTTCAAAAGTATTTTACATGGAAGTATAAAACTCCCCAGCATGTATAATGGTTAGCTGTCACTGCATGTTGGATTAGAGTTTAGTTAGTAGTGGTTAGTCAAGTCTTCAAACTTTTTGTTAGTTTTGGATAAAGTAGGGAAGGGTTAGAACATCTATAAGCTTTTTTACTGCAACTCAGAGCTCCATTAGTTACCTCAATTACTACCCTGCTCTTTAACCAGAAGGGAAATTAGGGAATATGTGCAATAGGGACAAATAAAAAAAACTATATATATATTCTGTCTGTGTTGGTGTTAGAGAGTTCCCCTCACTTCCTGTATGGTAAAATGTCAGCAGGAGAGAAGTGAGGATAAATCTCTCTATTGAAGCTTTGAATAGCTATAAAAAAAAGTGACAGAACTGAACCTTCACCACTCATTTTTGGCTGGACATACACTTTAATAAAAGCAATAATCTTTATGTCACACACAGGAGTTTAGGGTTAAGGCTGCAATACAGATCAAATTTTAGCCATGGGTGCCCCTGTCGGTACCACCCGGATCAGCAAAAGTTGACCGATCTGAACAGTGATTGCATCCAATCAGATGCAGCCATTGTTCAGGTGTTCTGACAGCTATGAGTTCCGGCTCTCAGAATACAATAGCTGGCTGGGGAGATTCAGCTTTTTGCACTGTTTAGCATTGATGGAGAAACCTGTTAGATTTCAGCCACAGGCTGAACAAAAGAAATCTATGTCTGTGACTAGGGATGAGCTAAGCTCTGTTTGGATCCCAGTCCAACCCATATAAACGATCCTGCCTGGAAGCAGTAACTGCACTGGGCCATCATATGTCATATATATATATTAAATAACTGGTGCAGCGCTAAATACTAGAGCACAGTTTATACACACAATATATAAACATGCATGATATCACTCTATGGTGATCAATAAATAAAAAAGTTCAGTGTAATAGTGCGGATCATGCAGAGATCCCAATTAAAGGTGAGTGGACGTCCTGATCCAAGGTGTGATGATAGGTGTGATCACACAAATAGGTGAAAAACGCACTCACCAGATGTGCGTATAATCTACGCAATATGTAATCCTGCGTCACCAGGCCATAAAACGATCATCAGATCCCAGATCAGATTGTACCCAGGTCACCATCTCAGTTCCACAGAAGTGAAGTCATCTGAAACCGCTACCAGGTATCACTTTATACTTTGATACTTTTTATACTATACCGCTACCAGGTATCACGTATACTTTGATTGGCGCTGGGATTTTTTAGTTTGTTTAAGACAATATTAACTGTAATTGCAATTCTTTTTATAATACAATGTATGTACTATTTAAAAATAAACTCTGGGAACAAGGTAAAGGATATGATCAAGCAGAAAGGGTGGTAGGGTCTTTGGATGAAAACAACAACATAAACAAATTACTGTCAGTACAATTTTATGTTTGCATTTTATCACAGTATAATTCCAATATTCATTTCCTCAGGTATGCACTGTGACAGCATATGCACTGGGGGACACTGGGGACCAAACTGTTCACTATCCTGTAACTGCAAGAACGGGGCCTCCTGCTCACCAGATGATGGTATCTGTGAATGTGCACCTGGGTACAGAGGTCCAACATGTCAAAGAAGTAAGCTTTCTATATGTTTATTTCAGTTAAAGTGTATCTTTTGATCAAACTATATTTTGTTGTTTGGGGCAAAAACACAGCTGAGTCATTCATTTGCAGTTTCCTTTAAATGAATAGACTACAGGTACTGTCAGCCATTGCAGTTTTCAATGAACTATAAGGGTGCTGGTGAGCTCTGATGGTTCATTGATTCTTCCTGCTCTCAGGTAACTGCTTACCCGTTCCAGGTATGGGCAGACAGCTATCCTGAGAGTCTTCAGGAGTCTGAGATTGCACCCGTGATCTGCTGATCATAGGTGCAATGCTGTACAGGTCCTCAGAAAATAGATAATAAATGCACCTGCACCTGTACCTGCAAAATAATTGTGCAAAAGGCGAATGTATCCTTTAAGAGGGGATTTCCTTCATTCCTTAGGGAATTCACCATTACCTACTATATCCAAAACTAAAAAAAGAAACTGACTGGGGTTTTTACTATTTAATACAGATGAAAAAAAAGGTTGTAGATAGATACACTTTAACTGAGAAATCATCTCACACATACTTTACACACAGACCTGGAATATGGATCATTTTTATTCATCATCATTATATGTTTATGTGCAGTTTGTTCTCCAGGCTTCTTTGGACATCGGTGTAGCCAAGCTTGTCCACAGTGTGTCCACAGCAATGGTCCTTGCCATCATGTGACCGGCCAGTGTGATTGCCTTGCTGGCTTTATGGGCTCTCTCTGCAATGAAGGTGAGTCTAGAACCTAGAGCTCAAGATTAAATCTGCTCAACACTTTTTAGGCTCAGGTCACAAAGCCAACACACAGAATAAGTATATATTTTTCAAAAAGTAACAATGAAGATGAAGTCCAATAAGATTGAAGAATTACAGTCGCATATACACTCACCAGCCACTTTATTAGGTATACCTAATGCCAAGAAAATATCTCCCACACCTTTACACCATCACCAGCCTGAACTGGTGATACAAGGCAGGATGGATCCATGCTTTCAAATTCTGACCCTATAATCTGAATCTTGAAGCTGAAATCGAATGCCCATTGTCCTCTGACCTCTGATAGCAAAAAGGCATTTTCATTCACACAACTACTACTCACTGGATATTTTCTCTTTTTCAGACCATTCTCTGTACAAAAAAAAAGATGATAATGCTTGAAAATCCCAATAGATCAGCAGTTTTTCAAATACTCAGATCAGCTGTCTGGCACCATCAACCATGCCATGCTCAAAATCACTTAAATCCCCTTTCTTCCCCTTTCTGATGCTTGGTTTGAACCTCAGCAAGTCATCTTCATCATTTTTTTATGTGATAGACGTTTTTTGTCTTAATTTGTTCAGAACTAGAAAAAAGAAAATAGGCAACAAAAAAAAAAAACAAGATGGCTAAATGCATTGAGTTTCTGCCATGTGATGATTAGCCATTTGTATTACCAAGCAATTGAACAGGTGTACCTAATAAAGTGGCTGGTGAGTGTATATAAATAGAATGTCATAGGTTGCTGTTAAAGATTTGTGTACTGATCTTTGTATCCAAGATGGTTACACAAGACAGCTCCATGATAACTGTAATAAATGAAAACTCATTATGTGATAGAAGTTTTTTGATTTGTTTAGAAAAAAGAAAATGCACATGTGTTTCTAATGGTGATCAATCAAGATCCTTGTTTAATTAAAAATGAAAAGATGTAATTGCTATAAAAATTCATCAAATTTACTTTATGATTGCAAGTTGAATCAGGTCCAGTTTTAACAAATCAACTATTTTGTATTATATAGTGGCCAATGAGTTGTATCATTAAAACAGACAAATGTAACCATAAGAATTAAGTTGTTGCTGAACAACCAAAGGTTTTGCATTTTTACAAAAAAAGAAATAATTGTACACAACTGAAGATGTCTGTGTCAAGTAGGTCTCCTCATTACAAGTTACAACTTGGTTAGCTCTGAACCAGGATGAAAAGCAGCTGTATGATGCCGATGCCGTGCTTTCATCTCTCCATGTGCGACTCAGTATGATAATGTTCCCTGGTTGTAACTTTTTGGGTTTAAACTGTAAGAGCAAAAAACTACGTTCCAGACAGGGTTCCCTTTCTGTTTAATCAATGAAGTCCACAACCGTTTTTAGAAGAAACTTCTTAAAATCTAGCGATGGCTCTGTCCTGAGTTATTGTAGAGATGGAGAAGTTGCTGGGACCAATGCCCCCTAGTGCCACAGGAGGGAGAGCCGTCCTTTTCTTTTGGGCTGTACCTGCTCAGTATGACTTTCAACTTTCACCTATGATTAACTCAGCAGCTACTACAGGAGAGACTACGTACTGTGCATGTGTGGCTCAAAAGAACAGGACAGTGCTCCATCCTGTTGCACTAGGATGCGCTGGTCCCAATGGCCTCTCTGCCTATACAATAAAGTGTTACTAAACCCACAACAGTAAAATCAGTCTGTATATGCAGTAAAGTATGCTTGTTATACTCACTGTGGAACCCAAGGGTTTAATCCTCTGCATGGTGTAATAAGGCTGTTTGATCCTGACTTCTCTGCTCCTCCTCTTGTTCAAATGTCCACCTGATAAGACGAACTGAACCTGTAGACCTTATGCACATGCTCAGTTTATTGTGTTTTGCTATAGAGGGTTTTTTTTTTACTTGGGAGAGTGCATGTGATCAACACAGGTCCAATCAGCACTGTCCAGACAGAGGTCAGGGGTACTGCATCCTCCTAGAGCAGAAAGAAAACTCCTCCTATAAGCTTCTATCAGTGCTCTGCTGAAGTCACAAGACTGCTCTAACTTCTGATAAGAAAAGGTATTTAGCAGTTTATATTTACTAAAATAAACACATTACCATGTTCTGTGTACTGTAGGGGACCAGATATAGTGAATGCAGGGGGTCCTGGGTTTAGTAATGCTTTAACTTGGGATGGGGCCATCACTGGCTGCAGAAGATTTTAAAAAAGCTTCTTCTAAATGTGGATATAGACCTTTTTTTTAAACTGAAAGGGAGTGCTAGCTGGAAGGTAATTTTAGCACACTATGCTGCTGTACCCATATGGAACAGCATAGTGTGCTTTTTGTAAAGCTGAACGTACACTTTAAATGCATTATTCCCATTACTTACAGTGGTAGTCAATGCTGCTGGTACACTTTGTACCTACAGGAAAGTGTATAATAAAGCTCACCTGTAGGTACAAAGAATATCTCCAAAATGTGCACCGTTTAGGAGATATTCAGTGTTTCTGCAGCCCAGCGCATGCTTTCTGAAGGATGGCATACTCATACCGTCTCTGCAGAGCCCTATGCCGGGGCCTGACTCCACATGTGCAGGAGAGACATCAGTGTGGCTCAGCCATTCAAATGGCCAGAACTCAGAACGAAGACCGGGTGAAGATGGAGGCCCTGTCAGTAGTGACAGCACGCCGCTGGAGAGCTTAGTTATTAGATAAGTATTTAAAAATGTGCTATTATGTGATGCAAGGGGTTTTTTTTTTAAATGAAACTTTACTACCGCTTTAAAGCAGCATGGTAAACTTTGATTACAGCTAAAACATGTCTTTGTCTTACTAGTTTGTCCCAGTGGCCGGTTTGGGAAGAACTGTGCTGGCATTTGTACATGCACTAACAATGGCACCTGTAACCCCATAGATGGCTCTTGCCAGTGCTACCCTGGATGGATTGGTAGTGATTGCTCCCAACGTAAGTGTATCAAAATGTACATTGCTTTCCATATTTTGCCAAGAAACTATAGAAAAACAATATTTGTCTGGGGTTACTCTGACTACCAGACAAAACATCATTAAAATAATGTTATCCCAAAGATGATGTGGAACAGTTGAGACATCACACTCCATAATGAATTCTGAGCAATTAGCAGGGAAGCTGCCACCAAAGAGCCAGGCATTTGTTTGCATTCTACACATTTTTGAACGTCGTCTGAGTCCAATAAGAAGTAGGAGACACATTTACCAGCCGATCCTACAACCCACAAGGAAGGAAGCTGGAAGAGTTATGACACTCATCTAATAGCGGGAGCTGAAGGGAGCACGCTGTAGACAAAGCCATTCTACGTCTGTGTAAAATAATCCAGTTCATGTGGAAAATAAAAGATCTTTCTGTTTCACGTATCATATGTCCTGACGCTCTGAAAGAGGATGTGTAACCTAAAGTATACTGACATTTCAGATGTCTTTGTACTGGATTTCTTAGACAGGAAAACTATACTTCACATATTTGAAAACAACTCAAAATTGTTTTATTTTGGTGTTACGACCTTTCGGTATATTTATACCAAATTTTTTTTATAACAGGCTTTAAAACCCAACTCCCCGAAACTTAAAAATTACCCCCATGCAGTGGGTTGTGCCTGCATTGCAAGGGTTACATGCTAGGGGACACAGAAAAGAAGCTGTATTTACCAAAACCTCCACTCCTCTGCACTGCTAGACCAGTCCCACAACATCTTCTCCCCTGTGCGTCGGCAGTCTAAAGGTCCTGATGTCATCAAGACCAGTGCACGGTCCATAGCCCTCCATTGGATGAGGTTGAGGGACAGTCCACCAGTGGAAACACCATCTGTTGGGGGAGCAAGGATGAGATAAGTTAAAGTGTTTCTCCTCCTCTCTAGACTAGACAAGCAGTTAACCTTTACAGTGCAAGGGCAGTCCCACTGCGAGAGATAATTTTTAAATTTCCAGCCATAGGGCTTTAGAGAACTGTATAATTTATAAAAATGTTTTCACTGTGAAATATTATTTTTAATGCACAGAATTGGCTGGGGTCGTACAGCATAATGTTCTGGAGTTTTTCTCCATTCGGAAGCCACTGCATATAGCTGACCCATAGACATGAGTGGCTGTTTCTGTTATACACCAGTGCTTGCAAAAACCTGCATTTGCATACATACATAAGATCCTGCATATTTAGATACACTTTAAAGCTGAACTCTGAACACAAAAACTCTCAATTAAATATATTCCTCTATAGCCACTAATGATAAAAGTCCGCTCTGTGCCAATCCAGTTATTACCCTACAGTGGTAGTAAACTCTGTATTTTGATTTTTACCTACAGGTAAGTTTATAATAAAGCTTACCTGTAGGTTAAATATCTCCTAAACGTACACCATTTAGAAGATAGTGGCTTGGTTGGCAGCTGGCAGCGCATGCGCTCTGCAGGAGCCGCATACCATATTCCTTCCTGTGCCGTGGCCATGACATCATCTTTCAAGTGGGCACAGTCCAGAAGGAGGAAGAAAAGAAAGCCTCTGCAGCAGTGACTGCGTGCCGCTGGATGGCTTAGTTTCAAGGTACAGCTTTCATAATGTTCTAATATGTGATGCATACTAGAACATTATGCCTTTACCTTGCAGGGAGAAAGTTTTTTTTTTTTAGTTTTAGAGTTTACTACAGCTTTAAAAAAGTAGCAGTGACATCATCACTGGGCTTCCACTTGCTCAACGAATAAAATTCAAAATACTAACAACAACTTACAAAGCCTTCTACAACTCTGCTCCCAGGTACATCACCAACCTGGTCCTAAAATATCAACCGAACCGCTCTCTTCGATCCTCCCAAGACCTTCTGATCTCTAGTTCCTGTGTCACCTCCTCCCATGCTCGCCTCCAAGACTTCTCCTGAGCTTCTCCCATCCTATGGAACTCCCTACCCAAATCTGTCCGGCTGTCTCCTAATCTATCCACCTATAGACGATCCCTGAAAACCTTTCTCTTTAAAAAAGTCTATCGTGCTTCTACCTAGTAAACTGCCATTTATTTCCTCCATCAGCTCATCCTCCCACAGGTATTACCTTTTGTATCACTCAACCCTTCCTCCTAGATTGTAAGCTCTAACGAGCTGGGCCCTCTGTTTTCTTTTTGTACCAAATTGTATTGTAACTGTAATGTCTACCTTAATTTTGTAAAGCGCTGCTCAAACTGTTGGCGCTATATAAATCCTGTATAATAAAAAAAAAAATAATATTAATATAGTTTGTGCAGAGAGCAGAGCTGTAAGAGGGACCCACAGGCTCCATCCACTACAGAAAAACTTAGAAGGGGCGGAGATAAGACCAGTCTTCTTGCACAAGGAAAGAGCAGCACTGACTGGTCTTTATAACAGCAATCTCCCACCCATAGGCAAGGTTGCACACTGGATTACAGCACAGATCTGGAAGAAATACACAAAGCACACCAAGACTGAATTAAGAACACACATGACTCTTGTATTTTTATAGCATATCCTTATCCCAGAGTTCAGCTTTGAGCTTATTTGATCAGTGAGCCTTTACTTCCAATGAGATATAGGCTTAAAGACATGTGCCCACTAAAGGATGTGGAAGAGAATTTCTGATTGGCTGCTGTGGTTACTATTCATGTACTGCCACTGCACACATCCTCAAAAATACAGCAAATCATTGTACTTTATTATTAAATACAATCAGATAAAATGACAATGGTTAAAACAATGCGGAATGCATAATAATTTATTTTGTTCTAATATTTGAAGAAGGGTGAATCAAGGTTTTGTTTTATTATGTTAATAGAAACTCTTGTGTTTTAGCGTGCCCTCCTGGACACTGGGGCCCCAACTGTATTCACACCTGTAACTGCCATAATGGAGCATACTGCAGTGCATATGATGGAGAGTGCAAGTGTTCCCCTGGATGGACTGGGCTCTACTGTACTCAGAGTAAGATTTATTATTCAAATTAAAGGGATATCATGTATATAGTAATGTATGAGAATAAGTATCAGGATGACCAGTGACTGGGCAACACTGGTAAAGTGCTCACTATATAAAATTCTGACATATTATAGTCAATCAGTCAACTACAAACAGTTCACATCACTTTACGACATACATGATATGTAGAGGTAGACGTGATACAGTTTCTGCACTATTGTCTGTAAGGTGTTGTACTTTTGTCCCTAGGGTGCCCATTGGGATATTTTGGAAAAGAATGCTCCTTGGTATGCCAGTGTCAGAATGGTGCTGACTGTGACCACATAACTGGACAATGTACATGTCGTACAGGATTCATGGGAAAACACTGTGAACAGAGTAAGTCTGATAGATGAGCTCTGAGAGATATTGCCTTAGTATGGATAGAGTTTGGAGAGTCATCAGTGTATCTAATGTTAAATGTTTTTTAATTCATTTAAAATTCCTGAAATATATTTACATCCATCCAGTAGTAGTATTTTGGTTAAAGTGAACGTACCAAAAACTAAATTGCAAAGCTACTTATTTTAACCCCACCACCACCACCAACACACACACACACACACACACAAAGAGACTGTTTTAGGTCCAGCAGATGTAAAATGATCTAGGTCTATAATTCCCCCTTTCTTACTTTCAAATCCTGCATTTGCACCTGACTATGTATTCCTTTGTGCTCTGCATTGTACTTAGAGTGTCCACCAGGAACTTATGGGTATGGCTGTAGACAAGTGTGTGATTGTCTCAACAACTCCACGTGTGACCACATCACTGGAACCTGTTACTGCAATCCAGGCTGGAAGGGTACAAGATGTGATCAAGGTGAGTGTGTTTAACATTTTCAGCTCAGTACAGGAGGCTGACATCAAAACAGAGGTCCCAGTGGTTGAAGTGAACCTGTGCCCAGACTATTCACACACCAGTATTTACATATTCTGGACAAGCAGTAAAAGTGTTAAAAAAAAGCCCACATTTGCCTCTGTAGCTATAGGTGTTCTGGAGAAATTAATTTTCAAGATCACAACAGAAGCACAGCAATCTCCACTCTTCTTGGCAGCCTGCCTGCTTCTGATGTAAACACACAGCAAGTGTTTCTAAGTTGTTAGAAACTGACTGAAACTTGACTTTAGAATTTTTGTTGTGTTTATATCTTACAGACTGAATTAGTTTATAGTACAAGCAGCTAGAGAGGTTCCTGATGTCTTTTTTTTATTTTTTCGGGATCCTTTATACTTGTAGTGGTGTTCACCACCCTTCTGTAATTCAGGAAAGGGATTTCTTTTCAGAGGGAAGTTGATGTGTCACTTGGATCGTTTGTATTTGGCTTTTTAAAATATCAGAATAACCACTTCCATGTATGAAAATATCCTGGGGGACTGCAGGACTTATGCATGCTTTGACATTTTAACATGCGAAGTCCCAATTTAAAGCAGCCTTGGCAGACTTCAGTCTCAGTGATGATTGTAACAGGGTTTTACAGTTTCATCTACTGACACAATGTAATACTTTTATGTACATAAATTATTTCACCATCTTGTGTTGCGCTCCTTATTAATTAATATCTCTTTAAATACTTGTAATGCCAAAATAAATAATAATATATTTCTTAATGATCAAATATAAAAAAGTTGCATAAACATAAATTCATAATTTTCATAAATTCATATATAATAATAACTTAACATATTATTAATCCATATTCGTGATTGTATGATAAATTATAATTAATTGTGAATCTTAATTTAGTGAAAAAAATATAAAAATTTAAAAAATGCCGTGAATAAATACTCGTATAAAATAAATAGATTAATTTTAGTGCAAAAGCATAGTCCCATTAATCAAAGAAATATATATAAAGTGACTCTGTGTCCTAATAATCTTGAATCCGTGACTGATTGTGAATCCGTGACTGTGTTTGCGAATCCTCCAATTAGTGCAGATGTAAGCTCACCTCCTTATCTGCCTGCAATTAGGCTATATGCGCTTTTGGTCCACCTCCTTTGGAACCTGCTTGTTTAAGATTTCTCCTCTTTAAATTATGGAACAGGGATATCCTTTAGTACTGATTTTCCTCTCTGGAGTTGATCACTCCTCACGGTGATACAGACCCCTATAACCTCCTCTCCATACGTTTCTCCACATGCAGGAAAAAAATGCCAAACATAGTGTTTTATCTTTTTAAAACACTGCTTTATTCCTTCCAAGTAGTACACTCACATATAGTGAAAGCGATATAAGGCAATCCAATGTATAGCGTATCCTCCGCCGACCATTGAGTCATGTACCCGCCGTCTATATAACGATCCGGCGGGTACAAGCAGTGGTTACGCCACTGGTCACGTGGCTTCATCAGGGGGTGACCCCCTGATGAAGCCACGTGACCAGTGGCGTAACGCGTAGGGGTGGGGCTGCAACGTCACTCGGAGATAGCCGGATCGTTATATAGACGGGGGTACATGACTCAATGGTCGGCGGAGGATACGCTATACATTGGATTGCCTTATATCGCTTTCACTATATGTGAGTGTACTACTTGGAAGGAATAAAGCAGTGTTTTAAAAAGATAAAACACTATGTTTGGCATTTTTTTCCTGCATGTGGAGAAACGTATGGACAGGAGGTTATAGGGGTCTGTATCACCGTGAGGAGTGATCAACCCCAGAGAGGAAAATCAGTACTAAAGGATATCCCTGTTCCATAATTTAAAGAGGAGAAATCTTAAACAAGCAGGTTCCAAAGGAGGTGGACCAAAAGCGCATATAGCCTAATTGCAGGCAGATAAGGAGGTGAGCTTACATCTGCACTAATTGGAGGATTCACAAACACAGTCACGGATTCACAATCAGTCACGGATTCAAGATTATTAGGACACAGAGTCACTTTATATATATTTCTTTGATTAATGGGACTATGCTTTTGCACTAAAATTAATCTATTTATTTTATACGAGTATTTATTCACGGCATTTTTTATATTTTTTTCACTAAATTAAGATTCACAATTAATTATAATTTATCATACAATCACGAATATGGATTAATAATATGTTAAGTTATTATTATATATGAATTTATGAAAATTATGAATTTATGTTTATGCAACTTTTTTATATTTGATCATTAAGAAATATATTATTATTTATTTTGGCATTACAAGTATTTAAAGAGATATTAATTAATAAGGAGCGCAACACAAGATGGTGAAATAATTTATGTACACAGTGGTAGTTATGTGTTGGGTGTTTGCGATCCAGTAATATTAAGGACATATTCTGTCCTGAGTTGTGCTATAAGGTGGATATTTGGTAGATACTGCTTGGCTCGCAAGATACATGTAGATTTACTTTTATGTACATAGTTTCATCTGAGCAGCTGTTGCTGCCAATCAAAGGCTTTTTCTATGATCTACTGGTATTTGCAGCTATACAAAACATAAAAGGTGAAAAAAGATTTATAGGTCTCGTTCCTAGTTAGCCCTAATTGAAGTATATTTAAACCTAAGAACAAAATATAATGTATTGCACTTTACCAGTCTGTAGATGTGGTGGCACATTAGTTTTCTTTTTTTAGGCCTAAGCACATTTTCTGCAAGTACAGAAAATATGTGTTAATTTTGCCAGAAACCTAATACCCTTGTAACTGCTTGAGCTGTAAACTGAAATCTGAAATCAGAGTTGCAGTCATTTTTGTGTTTATTAAAAGTCAGCAGCTACAAAAACTGTAGCTGCTGACTTTTAATAAACACACACTTACCTGTCCAGGTGTCCAGTGATGTTCTCAACCTCGGCATCCCTTTTCCCCTTCTCTCCTCCACGGCGCCGGCATCTCAGCTGTGGGCACCAGGCTGTGAGAGCTTGCAGCTGATAGGCAGCACTGATAGGCGGCGCTGACTGGCTCTGATAGGTGGCACTGAAAGGCAGCTCAGATGGGCACTGATATGTGGCATTGATGTGCACTGATAGGCACTGATATGTGGCATTGATGGGCACTGGCAGGTGGCATTGATGGGCAATGACACGTGGCATTGATGGACACTGACAGGTGGCACTGATGGGGCTACACTGATCATCAGGGCACACTGATCATCAGTGCCTTGATGATCAGTGTACATGTCCCCTCTGAGTAATGCCGATTACCGGCTCTCCTCCCCTCACGAGCTGTCAGTGGAATGTTGATAACCGGCATTTCCTTAATTACATGCTATCAGCTGTGATTGGACACAGCTGATCACATGACAGAGCCAACGTCATTGGCTCTTTCTGTTGACCGGTGAGCCCCTGTGTCCCAGCGACACAGCGCACCATCGATCGCCGTGCTGCACGCCCCCAAGGGTGCACATGCGTGGTTAGAGTGGGAGGACATCATATGACGTCATCTCAAAACGAGAGAACCGCCTTGCACCCGTCATTTCCTTATATGGCGGGTGGGAGGCGGTTAAACAGTGTTACCATCCTTCCCAGTTGTCTTCTGTGAACTACAGAACACGTTCCCCAATGTTGCGAAGGTAAGGAGAGGAAGAGCTGTTTGTTGTCCAATATCAGGAGAGCAGTTTAGGATGATAATTCATAGATACAGTACAATGAGTGACGCTGTCTTCTTAAGACAGGAAGTGTGTTACTGACAGGATCAGCAAATAAAAAGAAAATAAAAAAAACCTGAAAGAGGAAAACAAATGCAGCCATCACATCTAAGGCCTGGAAGGCTGTAATATATTACATTTTGTTTCTTAAGTTCAAAGAGACTTTAACCTCGTTTCCCTCCTATTCTTCTTCTTCATAATTCATTGCATAGCTAGTTTTCTTTTTTTCAGATCTTTTTTTATTTCTTTTAGAATATCTATACAAGCTGTCCTAGGGCTTGTTGAAAGTGTTACTAAACCCACAACAGTAAAATCAGTCTGTATATGTAGTAAAACATGCTTGTTATACTCACTGTGGAACCTAAGGGGTTAATCCTCCACATTGTGTAAAAAGGCTGTTTGATCCTTTCTTCTCTACCCCTCCTCTTGTTCAAATATCCATGCTGATAAGACAGACTGAACCTGTAGCCCTTCTGCACATGCTCAGTTAAGTGTGTATTGTTAGAGAGTTTTTTTTTTTGGGAGAGTGCATGTGATCAGCACAGGGCCAATCAGCACTGTCCAGACAGAGGTTAGGGATCTGCATCTTCCTAGAGCAGAAATAAAACTCCTCCTACAAGTTTTAACCAGTGCTCAGCTGAAGTCACAAGACTGCTCTAACTGCTGACAAGAAAAGGTATTTAGCAGTTTATATTTACTAAAATAATTGCATTTCCATGTTCTGTGTACTGTGGGAGATCAGATATAGTGAATGCAGGGTCCTGGGTTTAGTAACACTTTAAGCTTGTGTTGACTCTCTGAAGAGCAATCCACAGTGAATCATTTTTCAGAGGGCTTGTGATGGGCAATGAGATAGCTCCTCACTATCTGTGGGAACCACTAAAATCCACCACCACCACCTCAACCGCATGCATTGCAGGGGTGGTTGCGGCACATGGGTCACATTCAGCAGGCAGTAACACAACAGCAGAGATCATTTTTGCCACGATACAAATTTGCTGTGGCATGTGTTTACCCCCGTATGGCTGCTGTGCAGCTTAGGGGGGAATGGATGCAGGGTGGTAAAAATGTAGCTGTTCATTTATTTCTGTGTATTATTCTTTGGGAAAAAAAAAAAAAAAGATACATATATTTTCATTTGTAAATAGGCCTGGTCTGCAGGTTATTCAATAACTTAATAACTATTAATACTGAATAACTCTGCAGATCCTTTTCCAAAGTGTTTCATTTCTATTGCTGGTATAAAACAGGTTAATACTTTTTAACTTTCCAAAATTCTGTGAATGAAGATGTTATAATATGCATAGAATATATCATTGTCTTCTACACACTGAGCTGTCTGTATTGTGAATTGGTGGCTATGATAAATCCATGAATCATCCTCTATAATGTCCCTCTGTTCTCCTGTGCACCGTCTGAAATCTGACTTGATTTCCACTTTATTCTTCTGTTATTTCACTTCCAGCTGTAATGATAATTGTCGGGAATTTGAACAGCCTGACCCGCACTAGTGCAGCGATCCCTGCTGACACCTACCAGATTGGGGCCATTGCTGGCATCATTATCCTCGTCCTGGTTGTCCTCTTCCTGCTAGCACTCTTCATCATCTATAGACACAAACAGAAGGGCAAAGAGACAACTATGCCAGCTGTAAGCTACACCCCCACCGTCCGCGTCCTCAGCACAGACTACACTATCGCAGGTAATGAACACGTTATTACAATTTCCATTCATGTCTGTGTTACTAATCATGCATCATTTCAGGTGGGGACATTTCATCTTGACTTTATATATATGAAGTCAGGAGGATAATATGATTTTCATCTATCCGGAAATAAACCACATCTAATGGAAGATGTGATTGATGATAATGATGATGAAGCTATAAGGCTGTTATCAGTTTTCTGTTTTATACAAGAAAGCTGTGCAAAAAACAATATTGATGTGCAAAGTGCAGTAACCCATACCAACCAATCAGAACGTATCTTTCAAGAGTAATGATTTGCTTTATTGCTATTAGTTGCAGCACAAAACTACTGTGTGCCTTTCTTTTTGAAGAGCCTGCCCACCCAAGATTTAGTATTTAGTCGATTAGAGAGAGGAGCCACTTAATGGCTTCTTATGGCTAGTTATCATGAGATTTCGGCACTTGAGTTCTCAGGACTGCACTCCAGCTGTAACCAGCACAAGGGGTTTCCACTCTTTCCCAGCTGGATTTATTGTAGCTTTTTATTATGGAAAGTGCAGCAGGAGGAGTGGGAACACCCTCAAATGTCCAGGAACACTCCAAACTCTAAGGCGGGTACAGGGGCGGACTGACAACTCATGGGGCCCCCGGGCAATAGGGGATCATGGGGCCCCTGTGTCATCACCCACACCCAAAAAAGCCTATGAAAAAGTCAATGAAAGGTACCAGGGGCATCTCATGGGGCCCCCTACTGACCCTGGGCCCTTGGGCAGTGTCCAAGTGCTCGAATGGTCATTCCGCCCCTGGGCGGGTAGCAACAGTGTCAGGTACTATGGGGGGAATTTCCCACGGTATGTATACACTAACACAATGGTATAATGCAGGGTAAAAAAAATTATTATTATTATACAGTATTTATAAAGCGCCAATAGTTCGTTCAGTGCTGTACATTACAAAGGGGGACAGAACATGTGACAGAACAATACCAATACAATGCAAAACATGAGGGGATCGAGGGCCCTGCTCTTTCGAGCTTACAATCTAGGAGGGAGGGGATGGTGGCACAGGAGGAGAAAGCTGTGGGGGATGGAGTGGTAGGAAGAGTGGAGGAGGTCGGCAGGTTAGCAGGGGGTGGGGTAGGCTTCCCTGAAGATGTGGGTTTTCAGGGTGCGCCTAAAGGAGAGGAGAGTAGGTGATAATCTGATGGGTTGGGGCAGGGAGTTCCAGAGGATGGGTGACACCCTGGAGAAGTCCTGGAGGCGGGCATGGGAGGAGGAGACCAGGGAACTAGAGAGAAGGAGGTCTTGTGAGGAGCGGAGTGTGCGTGCTGGGCGGTACTTGGATATTAGGTCGGTGATGTAGTTCGGGGCAGTATGATGGACAGCTTTGTACATCAGTGTTAGGATTTTGAATTTGATCCGTTGCGCAATCGGAAGCCAGTGGAGGGATTGGCAGAGGGGAGTGGCAGAGATGGAGCGGTTGGATAGGTGAATGAGTCTGGCAGCCGTATTCAGGATCGACTGAAGCGGGGATAGCCAGTGGCGAGGCAGGCCAGTGAGGAGGGAGTTGCAGTAGTCGAGTCGTGATATGATGAGGCAGTGGATGAGCTGTTTAGTGGTTTCTGGGGTTAGGAACGTGCGTATTTTGGCGATGTTGCGGAGGTGGAGTCTGCATGAGTTTGTTAAAGATTGGACTTGGGGCTGGAAGGATAGGTTGGAGTCCAGAATAAACACCAAGTACTCTGGCCTGCGGGGCGGGTTTGATGGTGGCGTTGTTGGATGTGATAGAGAAGTCAATGGGGGGTGGTGTCTGGGCTGGACACCACTAAATATCTTAGGGCCAGTTCATACTACATGTGTTTCAGTTGCTTTTTTTATACATCCAAAACGCACAGAAAATAGGTTATATGGTTTGCAGTGTCATAGTTCACATCAGTGCTTGCAGTTCCAGTGTGTTCCGATTGCAGAAAAAAAAGTAGAACAGGCTCCAGTTTTTCTGCACAGAACTGTACTGGAACGTGGTAAAACGCATCAAAAACGCACTGGAACACATCAAAACACACCAAAAATGCACTGGAATGCACATGCCCCTATTTAAATTGTAGAAAAAGGGGAAAAAATTAACTGGAATGCATAAAAAATGTACTGGAACACACCAAAAACGCATCAAAATCGCGCATGCAAAAACGCATCCAGAACGCATCTGAACTGCGTTTATATAGTGTGAACCAGCCCTTAAAGCCATTCTTCACTCTAGAGAAAAGAAAAAAGTCATCAATAAGTCTTCAAATCTGTAGCTGCTGACTTTCAGGGCCAGTTCACACTACAAAAATGCACTCTGGATGTATTCCAGATAAGTTTTTGCGTACAATTCACACCACACGCAGTTCCAGGGCAGTTTTGATGCAGTTTGCCATGTTCCAGTTTGGTTCTCTGCAGAAAAAATGCAGCATGTTCTACTTTTTTTTTCTGACTGGAACTGACTACCCTAGTGTGAACCAGGGCCATTGAAATACATGGAAAACACTGTGCATGCATTTTTGATGCAGAAAAAAAGTGCACTGAACTGCATCTAGTGTGAACTGGCCCTTAATAAATGAACACTTACCTGTCCAGGGATCCAGTGCTTTCCTTATCCAAACTGATTCTTCAACAGTCTTTGGGTTCCTAACACGGGCATCTTTAGCATGGGAAGCCGATTAGGACAGCTTGCTGCTTTCACAGGCAGCTTCCTATTGCACATACACGAGCTGCACTGTGTTTTGTGAATGGTCCCGCAGTCTTCTGGGACCTGTGACATGTCCCACAAGACTAAAGGCAAAGAGATGGGGGGCTGAATTCCTGCTTGGATTGCCTAGGCCAGTGGTCTCCAGACTGCAGCCCGGGGGCCAGATGCGGCCCCTTGCTTGCTTTTATCTGGCCTTTGGGGCATTATTCCCCCCACCTTCAGCAACAATGGGGCACAGTTTCCACCACTGACACCAACATTGGGGCACTATTCCTTCCACTGACACCAATAATGGGGCACTTTTCCTTTCACTGACAACAATAATAAGGCATTTTTACTCCCATTGACACCAATGATGGGGCACTATTCCTCCTACTGACACAAATGATGGGGCACTATTCCTTCCACTGACACCAATGATGGGGCACTATTCCTTCCACTGACACCAATGATGGGGCACTATTCCTCCCACTGACACCAATGATGGGGTACTATTCCCCCCACTGACACCAATGATGGGGCACTATTCCCCCCACTGACACAAATGATGGGGCACTATTCCCCCCACTGACACCAATGATGGGGCACTATTCCTTCCACTGACACCAATGATGGGGCACTATTCCTCCCACTGACACCAATGATGGGGCACTATTCCCCCCACTGACACCAATGATGGGGCACTATTCCCCCCCCACTGACACCAATGATGGGGCACTATTCCTCCCACTGACACAAATGATGGGGCACTATTCCCCCCACTGACACCAATGATGGGGCACTATTCCTCCCACTGACACAAATGATGGGGCACTATTCCCCCCACTGACACAAATGATGGGGCACTATTCCTCCCACTGATACCAATGATGGGGCACTATTCCCCCCACTAACACCAATGATGGGGCACTATTCCGCCCACTGACACAAATGATGGGGCACTATTCCCCCCACTGATACCAATGATGGGGCACTATTCCCCCACTGACACCAATGATGGGGCACTATTCCCCCCACTGACACCAATGATGGGGCACTATTCCCCCCACTGACAACAATAATGAGGCATTATTACGCCCACTGACACCAATGATGGGGCACTATTCCCCCCACTAACACCAATGATGAGGCACTATTCCCCCCCATTGATACCAATGATGGGGCACTGTTCCCCCCACTGACACCAATGATGGGGCGCTATTCCTCCTACTGACACCAATGATGGGGCACTATTCCCCCCACTGACACCAATGATGGGGCACTATTCCCCCACTGACACCAATAATGGGGCACTATTCCTTCCACTGACAACAATAATGAGGCATTATTACGCCCACTGACACCAATGATGGGGCACTATTCCTCCTACTGACACCGATATGGCACTATTCTCAATTGGGTATTCTTTGCAAAGTGAATTTGCTACATCCACAAGCTAAGAAAAATTCCCTTACAAAGTGCCTTTAGTAAATCAACCCCAATGTGTCAGTTAGACAATCTTAATGGAAAATTCTCATCACAATACATTTTCAAAGGGTGAGAGTAGACATGTGCAGAACAAAAGAATTTGTTTCATTTTGGATTGATTCGTTCAGTTCCTAATTTCATTTAGTTGTATTCGTAACAAAATTTGTTTAGTTTCATTTTATTTATTCGTTTTTGACTGGATTCAGATTTTTCCAATGGATTCAAAGTACTTGAATCAAAAACATTGAAACAATCCAAATTCATTGTTAATAAATAGCTGGTTCTATTCTATTCAAAATTCAAATTTCGGAAGATGGCTATATTCTTTCTATTCTATTCTAATCTATCCTATTTTTTTTTCTATTCCATTATATTCTGTTCTTTTAATTTCTACTCTGTTCTTTTTTATTCTATTCCTTTATTTTCCATTCTATTTTATTCTATTCTGTTCTATTATTTTATTTTCTATACTATTCTTTTCTATTCTATTCCTTTATTTTCTATTCTATTTTATTCTATTCTTTTATTTTCTAGTCTATTCCATTCTTTAGTTTTCTATTCTATTCTATTTTACTCTATTCTATTCTGTTCTATTCTTTTCTTTTTGAAATTTGAATTTCAGAAGATGGCTATAGCCTTTCTATTCTATTCTATTCTATTAGTTTTTTATTCTGTTCTATTTTATTCTGTTCTATTCTTTTCAAATTTCAGAATTCGGCTATATTTAACAATAATACGCATATTATTTGAAGGAAATCAGCAATATTCAGCAATACGTTTATATTTCAAATTTAATTTTGTTTCTAATTCGCTTTGAAATCAAAATTTTGTTTCGTTATTTCGGATTTCTTTAAATTAGTTACTATTGTAATTTGTAAATTCGAACAGGTTGCACATGTGTAGGTGAGAAGGTGTACTGCATGAAACATGTTGAAGGGTTAAAGTGTTGTAGCAAGAAATGGTCTTTTGGAAACCTGCTCAGAAATGGTAGAAAATAGAAGTTATAGAAGATATGTGAATTGTAGGACGTGTTGTCCTGCTGTATGATGTATCTACTTACATCTTTTGGCTCATAACCTCTTCTGCACAACCAATCATAGTCAAGTAATGTTCAATTCAGGGCAATCTTTCAATAAGGGTAGTTAATTGTAAATGAAAACCCTTCAGCTGTTTAACCTCTTCATGCCGGCCGAACGCAAATGTGCGGCCTCCCGGCGTCTGGGCCTAGACACGCTGAGTGATCGCACATTTGCATTCTATTAAAAAAAGAACATATGTGCTGAGAGCGTGTGCCCTGCGCGCTCCCAGCACTCATGTCCAGTACTCACGAAAAGGTCCCAATCTCCTCCTTCGATCGGGACCTTCCCCAATCATGTGACATGACATCACGGCGGTCACATGACCCTAAACCCTGCTCCGCCTCCCAGCTTCTGAAACCCTTAAAGGGCCGGGAGGTGCCGGCGTGAAGGGGTTAAAGCATGCACACCTGTAAATTGCAACAAACCTAGTTTAACCTGGATTGTATTATTTTCATCTATAGTATTCTACCTGTGCTACAGTTCAGGGGTCTCCAAACTTTTTAAACAAAGGGCCAGTTTACTGTCCTTCAGGCTTTAGGGGGGCCAGACTGTGACCATTGGGAGAAGAAAAGGTCCCATCAGTGGGAAAAAAACAATGCCCCATCTTTGGTGTCAGTAAGAGAATATGTGCCCCATCGTTGGTGTCATTGAGAGAAGTTGTGTCCCTTTGTTGGTGTCATTGGCAGGAATTGTGTCCCATTATTGGTGTCATTGGGAGGAATTGTGCCCCTTCAGTGGTGTCATTGAGGGAAATTATGCCCCATTGTTGGTATCAGTGGATGAAATAGTGGCCCAAGGGACAAATAAAAGAAAGTAAAGGGCCGCAGTTTGGAGACCATTGCTATAATTCTTAGATTAATTAAATTAGATTAAGATAAACCACATATAAAAACACGTTGAGTTGTATATAGAGAGATGAGTATAGACGGTACACATGAAATTATGGTATGTATTTAAAAGTCAGAAAAATAATGTATTGTGACTTGCTATTTTGTTTTAACTGCAGATACCCTTCCACACACCAATGGGGGAAATTCAAACAGTCAGTACTTTTCTAACCCGAGTTATCACACACTGAGCCAGTGCACAACCGGTCCACATATCAACAGTATGGACAGGATGATGGTCTCCAAGGTAATAAAAATGTTAACTTCGAATACTATATAATGAATAGTATAATGTTACTATGAGTTAATCATCCTCACACATAGACCCGTAGCTCTAACTCATGTGAATTGGTGGTTTCTGCATATTTTTCCTGTGTGCGGAGTGGTTTATAGTGACAGAAGCTAATAATTCCCAACAGAGGACATAGATTAAAGCAGCCCAAGATTCATTGATCCTTGTGGTTCAAAAATAGTTAGAATCATTGTTGTTAAAGGCAACTATCATGATTGTTCCTTTACCTGTGAAACAAAACTACAAAGAGTAATTTTAGATCAGTCCTGTTCCCACTGTGGTACTCACAGACTAACGTTCCTGCCAGAACAATTTTGGATTTTTGTAAAAAACCCATACAAACACAGAAAAGCATGCAAACTCCAGGCAGATAATGGCCAAGGTGAAAATAAAAACCAACACCCAAAACACAGCCACAAAATGACAGTAGTGATACCCAATGCCCGCCATGCTGTCCGTAACATAAAAAACAGCTCCAGGATTGAGGTGTACAACCAAGTATGTCCTGTATACCAGACAGCCACTCACTGACTGTGATTTCATATTTAGGAAAGGGTCTTTCCCAGAGGCTAAGGATGAAATTAAAATGAACCTAACTCATGCAGCTCACCTATTATCTGGAGTGCTGATGTGGACCTGCACATTGGGTGGGTTTTTTCATTCTATTAGGAGATACAGTATGTGAACAGTTGTGTACCACCTTATTTAAGGTGGTAGTTTCCAGTGATATATTTTGTTACAAACTTCATGCTCTGACAAAGAGTGCTTAAAAAATAAAATATGGGTAACATGTTTATAGTGAAAAGTAAATGAAGGTTTCATTTTTCAAATTGTTTTTCTTTATATCCCTTTTCCAATAAGCAAGGACAATGCCTACTTTTGATGTAAGGGCACTTTGTAACCGCAGCAATAGATTCCTACAATCCTGATACAATCAGGTTTGATTTCTGAGAAGAAGCAGAATAATTAAAGTGGAAGTCTGGGTTAGTCTGGAAGATACTTAACTAATCTAAGGCACTCCAGTCTGGTCAGCTCCCAGTGCCGGATTCAGGGGAGAGAAGGGACAGAGGACAATGGATGCCCAATAGTAAGTCTATGGGTGTCATCACTGCCTAGGCATTGCTGCCCCTGTTGCTGCTTTCTCCTCTACCCTGAAGCAGACCACTGGGGAGATCATGTGACTAGTCCGACTATCACGTACCAGGTGTTAGAGGCCAATGGAGAGAGGGCTTTCCTTGCAGCTAAGTTCCAGACTCCCCTGGATATGGGACAGAAGGAGTCAGGCCCAAAGTAGCATGGGTCGCCTGTAGGAGTGCTTGTTAGAGGTACACCCAGGAGCACAGCCGATGCACTGGAATGGTGTCTGCAGACAGGTGGCGCCCGTGGGAGGTATGCAGAGTAGCAGAGGACCACAGAGTAGTCGGTTCAAAGCCAAGTTCATATGCGAGGTGGAGATTGGAGCAGACGTAGTCAATAGGATAGCCAGGGTCATACACAGGAGAGCGAGTGAGAATATCTATTAGTCAAGCCAAGGTCAGATCAGGAGAGCAGGTGAGAATATCTATTAGCCAAGCCGAGGTCAGATCAGGAGAGCAGGCGAGAATATCTGTTAGCCAAGCCGAGGTCAGATCAGGAGTCAGGCAGAGAAGACAGATCCAGGAACATGCCAAATCGGTAACAGGAGATCACAGTAGCAAGGGAACACGGATAAAGGTATTGGGGAGCCAGAGATAAATCAGCAATTTGAGGGAGTGACGGGCTTCCTTATAAAGGCCGTCTGGCGCCAAACTGAGCTAATGCGTACATAACTATGCGCCAGTGCACATGTTCTGGCGTGTGTCCGTGCGCCAATGCGCATAGATTTTCACCAGCATGCATTTCTGCGGCCATGCAAGGTACTGGCAGGAATGCCAGGTCTCCGAGTACCTCTGCTGTGAACAGAGCCCTGACACCGACCTTAAATTTGGTAAGTATACACACTTTTGCTTTACAGGATAGCTAGTATAGAGCTTAGAATGGGGGTGGGAACAGGCTTAAAGTGGTTGTAAAGGCTGAAGGTATTTTATGTATGAAGGTAAAAAAAAACCTTCTGTGTGCTTTTCCCCGACAGCCCCCCCTCTAATACTCAACTGAGCCCCCTCTCAATCCATCGATGAGCACGAGAGCCTCGGCTGTCGCTGGTCTCTCTCTTAATTGGCTGAGACAGCAGCGGTAGCCATTGGCTAGCCAATGAGGAGAGATCGGAGGCGGGTCAAACCGCAGCTCTATGTATCATATGGATGCATAGAGCAGGGCTTGGGACCGAGCATACATCATTTCCCCCAATAGCAAGCAGTTTGCTATTGGGGCACTGGTCAAGGGGGGGGAGCCAAGATGCTGGCAGGGGACCCGAGAAAAAGAGGATCGGGGCTGCTCTGTTCAAAACCATTGCACAGAGCAGGTAAGTATGACATGTTTTGTATTGTTTTAAGAAAAAAATGAAACTTTAATATGACTTTAAGCTTAGACTAGATTGTAAGCTCTAACGAGCTCTAACAGGGCCCTGTTTCCTCTTGTATCCAATTGTATTATAACTGTAATTTCTACCTTCATTTTGTAAAGCGCTGCGCAAACTGTTGGCGCTATATAAATCCTGTATAATAATAATAATAGAGTGTTTTAGCCTGGACTTCCACTATAATACTATGATCTGGAGGGGATGTGGAAAGATAGGTACCTTATATCATTTATGGTGGGAGTGTCCAATGATACAAGCCTTCTGGGAGAAAATAGTTCAATTAATTGAGATAATCACTGGGATAAAAATAGGATTGAACCCAGAGGTGTGTCTACTACATAGTACAGATCTATCAGTAAATAGATATAAGGACTCTGGTGTATGGCATTACTTGAACGCGGCAAAAGGTCTGATTCCTAGGTTTTGGCATAGACCAGAGACGCCGAGGGAGGAGGATTGGGTAGAGAGAACAAATCAGATATGTAAGATGGAGAAACTATATTATACACAAGAAGACAAGATGGGGCTATTTTATAAGAAGTGGAGAAAATGGGAAGACTTTGTAGCGAGATCTAAGAAGTAGTAATGAGAAAGAGGAGGAAGAACTTGTATATACTATTTAGGAAAAGAGTTAATAGAATTATGCAGAGTGGGAGGGGTTTTATAAATGGGAAATGGGGGTACTTTAGGTGGGGGGGCGGGGTTTTAGATAGGGTCCGGGGAGGTAGAGGGAATAAATTATAGGAAGAAAAGTATTAAGGGTTTGGAAAATGATTTTTTATGTATGAAAATAATGAAGAAATGTGTATATTATATTATATGGAAAATAAATAAATATTTGAATAAAAAAATAATAATACTATGATTGCAGGGAAATTCTTGCACCCTTTGATTCAACATTGGATAAAATAATATCAACATCTTTAAAGTAATTTTGTCTCCTATGAAAAAAAAAAATCTGCTAAGTAAAGTGTGTTGTAGTAGTATGGCTGCAGCAGCTTTTACTACCCCTCTGTGTCTGGATGCTCTAAGCAGGCAAAGTTGCCAGTCTTCCAGGCATTGTCAGAGCTTGCCTGCTGTTGTTTCTGTTGACCCATCACTGAGGAGCTGCCTCACTGACCAGCAAGAACTTGCAGAAGGCAAGTAACCTCCATGACTATTAAAACATTTTGAGTGTTGCCAGATAAGCCTGGCAATTGGGCACACAGGAGCAGTTATAGTTCTTCCACCTCCACATGACTGCAATTTATACCTAGCAACTTTTGTGTGACAATTAAGTGACAGTTACTTTAGCTTGATCACAATTATATTGTAAGCCAGAGTCCTCCTCCTATCAGGTTTATGAAGGCTGTCATGGTTTTCAGAAGAAACTTGTTCAACCCTTACAAGCCTTTCACCTGGTCGGGTCTGTTTCCTCCGCCAAGTAGATGCCAGATGTACATCAAATGTTTTATATATATATATATATATATATATGTATATATATGTATGTATCCCATAATTTATTTAAGATCCTAAAAAAATTACAGGAAAATGGAAGATCTGACCTAAGGGCATACATCCAGTCATCAATTTTACAATTTTACACACTGGAGACTCATTTACAGCCATCTTTTAAGATCTTTTTTTACTGCTTTTCCAGACTTGTGCTGTAGGATGCCAACATTACCTATTTATATATTAATAGGAAAAGTGAAGATGACTAAGCTCTGAGGAACCTTCAATCAATAAATCAATAGTGCCATTTAATTATTAAAACATGTAGATTTTCATCTGTAAATTAAATCTTCCATCAGACTACAAGACTTAAGTAACATTTCATTTAAAAACTTCCTTTATTGATGTAACGTTGGTAGAATCTGATCATTTTTCTCTAGATGCTACATAGAATCCACACCTTCCTCATGAATAGAGGCTTGTGGTAATGTTAGTGCAGCTAGTCCTGATGAAGCAGCACTGGACCCCGTGACTCCTACGGTGGCCATACATTTTTTCATAAGTTATTGATTCCTTTTCCAACCTTTTCTTAAAGGAATAATAAATCTATAGGCAACAACCTATTGGACTGATAGAATAGTTGCATAGTTAGTCTGACTGAAAAAAAGACAAAAGCCCATCCAGTTCATCTATAAAAAGAAAAGTTATAATCTTACACCCACAGTTGATCCAGAAGAAGGCAAAAAAAACCCAGCAAAGCATGATCCAATTTGTTCCTGCAGAGAAAAAATTCCTTCCTGATCCCCTGAGAGGCAATTGGATATTCCCTGGATCAATTTTACCTATAAATGTTAGTATCCAGTTATATTCTGTGTATCCAAGAAAGAATCCAGGGCTTTTTTTTAAAGCAATCCATTGAGCTGGCCAGAACCAACCTTTGAGGGAGTCAATTCCACATTTTCACAGCTCTCACTGTGAAGAAACCTTTCCATATTTGGAGATTAAATCTCTTTTCCTTCAG